GAAAGAGTGATACAGCTTCAGTATCTGGAGTTTCTGTAATGTTGTCTCTGTCAGTAAGATTCACATTCACACTGTACTTTACCAGAGATGCATGTTCTTCGTTGAATCCCTTGTGGACTCTCCCTTATAAAAGACCTACTACATTGGCAACCATAAGTTATCTATCTCACTGAACTCAATTGCAAAACCAGTAGCCAGTCGCATTTACAATGAACCTACAAGTCTAAAATATGCAGGTCAGCTTGTATGATTCCAGCTCATTGTATGGGGTTGAATAGTCTCCCTAACGCCTTACCACATTGGAGTAGGGGTGGGCATTCGGTCGGTTCGGTTTAAACCGAACCGAACAGATGCTTACCGAATCCCCGAAGTATGCCATGGGTCAAACCGAGTTCGAACCGAAATATAATATATTTCGGTTCGGTTCATCCGAACCGAAATATATCTCGGTTCGGTTCGGTGCTAATACAAAAACCGAAAGTTCCAGAATTAATACTCTCCCCACTAACCCTATCTCCCCATTTACCATATGCGGCTGCGGAGAACAAATTCTTTCTTTCTTTCTCTCTCTCTCCCTCTCTCCCTCTCTCTCTCTCTCCTCATAGAGCAGAACGCAGCCGCAAGTTTTCCTCCCCATCTCGGCGATTGACGAAGAGAACCCAAGGGTAGGCGGCGAGGGCGATTGAGGAAGAGAAAGACCCAGGGCCAGGCGGTGATGGCGAGTGACGGAGAGCACAATCCAGCGACGGCGGCGTCGATTGACATCGATGATTGTGACGAATCCGGCGACGAAGGTTAAGAGGTTAGTAAGGCTAATATCCAAGCATGCATGGAATTTTTTGTTTGTTTTTCTCCTTCGTATCTCCGTTTCTCATCGATTTCGCTCTTCTTTTTTGTATTTGGTTGAAGGCTTGAAGGGAAGTGATGGCGTCGACCGTCGAGCAGATCTTGGTTTGCGGGCTCGAACTTCGTCGGCCGCGAGCAGATCTTGGCCGCCAAGCCTTCTCCTCCCTTCGTTTGCAATCGCCGACGGGGACTTGAACTCCGCTGCCGTTCTCCTCTTTTGTCGCCGAGGGACCGCCGCCTAGCCTTCTCTTTCTGCTGGTGATTGTTGTGGGAATGAGGTTTGGGTGGGCTAGGGTTTCCTTAGAGAAATGGAATAGTAGATGTAGCGGGCTTGGGGTTGTGTGGGCTTGGATTTGTGTGGGCTCAGAGCTTGGAGTTGTACATAGTGAGTGTTTGTTCGGTTGGTCGGTTCGGAAATCGGAAATCGGTTTCGGTTGAGAAGATCCTGGTTTCCGAACTCTTGAGTTTTGGCTTCCGATTTCCGAACCGAATAAGAATACTTCGGTTTCGGTTCGGTTGACTTCGGTTTCGGTTCGGTCCGGTTCGGGTTTACCGAACCGGATGCCCACCCCTACATTGGAGCCCCATTCCAAATAAAACCACGTCACGCAGAAAAATCTCACGTCAGAATCTAAATGGGTATGCGGTGTTCAGCCGCACATAATTTTTAAGAAGCAATTGAACTACGATTTCAGCATAAAATATTTTTTTTATACAAATTCTAGTACAGTTTATAATTCTTGTTTTTTTTCATATATCCGGACTAAATAGAATTTAAACATTTAGATCATTAACTCTCACTCACTTACTCTATCGGTGGGGCCAACAGGCTAAACCAGAATGTTGCTTTATTGACATTCCTAATTATTGAGGTTTTAAGAATTTACTGCCCGTTAAGGTATAACAGGGCTGTCTATATCGTGGCAAAACAGACCCTCTTATCGTTGGATCGTTTGTGGGTCGCCCAATGTTCCTTCCTTATTTCCGTTTTGTGATTTGCCTGCCAAGGTTCTGTATATATACGCGTATCTTGCTGTTTCCCTTTCGGGATACATTTGAAAAAGAAAAAAAAAACTGCCCGTGCTAGCCCGGAAAAGTTAAACTGCTCACAGGGTTTTTTGTGAGTAGATACTCACTGACCCATGAGCCGAGAGGAGAGAGAAAAAACCCACTTTTTGGGCGAGCCGATAATTTGGGCGGAGGAAGTGGGCGGGTTTTGGGCGGCCCGAAATTTTGGGCGGGAGGTGGGCAGATTTTTGGGGCGGCCGAAATTTTGGGCGGGAAACTTGGTTTTTGATGGAATAATCGGGTCTGGGCTTGCAGCCTAGAAAGGGCTGGCTCATAAAACAATTTTTTGGGCCGATATTGACATCACCTGACAGGATATGTTTTTGTAAAAGGACGAATATTGGTATGAGATTATGAGATATTAGTCTGGGTTTTACAGATATTTGTTGACATGTGTTGGCATAATATCAATTCCTAATTCCCTTAAGTTTTTTTTTACACTCGTTCAGTTATGCATTGTCATTAATAGTTGTCTTGTGCAGGGATGTTTGTAGGTTTTCGTCGTCGATGGTGTTTCTTATGGTTGAGAGATCAATTCCCAGTCGGGATATTGACTACGCAAGCCAGCGAGTCGTGCAATGCACAAGTGCGACTTTTATTGAAAATGATTTGGACTTGTTTTTCATTCACTTTAGCAGGTACGCAGAATATTTCTTTGCCTTTCTTTGATATTAGTCTACTTAACTTTTGGATATTTGTCAGCGTTGTCCGGATATTTATATGCTATTGTTAAATATTACTTTGTTTAGTTGAGATATTAATATTGGTTTGAGTGGATATTAGTCTGGGCACTAAACTCTTTCTCGTGCTTTGTAAATGTAGTTTGTTGGCTGAAAAAAGACGCAAGGAGACTGAGTCAGACTACAATGGGAAACAATCGGTTCCTTATATTATGATGGAGGATAGCCCGTTCCTACAACATGCGGCAAAGGTCTTTACTCCTAACATCTTCAATCGGATACAAAATTAGTATTTGAAAACTAAACCCTATCTAAAGGTCTTTACTCCTTGTGCACGTACTTGCACTGCGACTTCAGCATCTTCTTCTTCCTCATCCTCCTCTGGCTGTGGCGATGGTGACGGCGGTGGATTTCGTCGATGTCTCTTCACGTTCGTTTTATCCCTGCACGTACAAATATCCAGATGTATCAAACAATTATCCAAGCAATTCACAACAGATATCATGCTGGTTAAAAACCAATATCCAGATATATCAAACAATTATCCAGGGAAATCACAACTGATATCATGCTGACCAAAAACCAATATCCAGATATATCAAACAATTATCCAAGCAATTCACAACAGATATCATGCTGGATAAAAACCAATATCCAGATATATCAAACAATTATCCAGGGAAATCACAACTGATATCATGCTGACCAAAAACCAATATCCAGATATATCAAACAATTATCCAAGCAATTCACAACAGATATCATGCTGGTTAAAAACCAATATCCAGATATATCAAACAATTATCCAGGGAAATCACAACTGATATCATGCTGACCAAAAACCAATATCCAGATATATCAAACAATTATCCAAGCAATTCACAACAGATATCATGCTGGTTAAAAACCAATATCCAGATATATCAAACAATTATCCAGGGAAATCACAACTGATATCATGCTGACCAAAAACCAATATCCAGATATATCAAACAATTATCCAGGCAAGTCACAACTGATATCATGCTGATCAAAAACCAATATCCAGATATATCAAACAATTATCCAGGCAAGTCAGAACTCATATCATGCTGAGTAAAAACCAACATCCAGATATATCAAAGAATTATCCAGGCAAGTTACAAATGATATCATGCTGATAAAAACCAATATCCAGATATATCAAACAATTATCCAGGCAAGTCAGAACTCATATCATGCTGAGTAAAAACCAATATCCAGATATATCAAAGAAACAATCCAAGCAAAATACAATGGATATCCATAATCAAAATAAATAATATCGGAACGCACACAAATCACATACAAATACCCAGATCCTATCAAACAACTATCCAAGAAAGTCATAACTGATATCATGCTCAAACAAAACCAATATCAAGATACATTAAACAACAACCCAGGCAATAAACAACGGATATCCAGAAGGAACAGAATGCATATCTTGCCGAACAGAACTAATATCGGAAGGAACACAAAGCAAATCCACAAAACCCAAAAATAACATCCACAGAAGAACGAACTCATATCCAGTGACATATAAGTTACCACAAAATAAATATTTCACCCACGAACCCAAAAGACAAATCCACAAATGGAAAGCCCGATCGTAGAGATCCTATCAAACAACTATCCAAGAAAGTCATAACGGATATCATGCGTAAACAAAACCAATATCAAGATACATCAAACAACAACCCAGGCAACAAACAACGAATATCCAGAAGGAACAGAATGCATATCTTGCCGAACAGAACAAATATCGGAAGGAACACAAAGTATAAATAAGACAGTTACCTTAGTCCAAATAGTAGTTCTTTCTTCAACGACCGTCGTCAAACCAAGCTTCGTCGCCCTTCGTCGCCGCCGATTCGTCTGCAAAGTCGCTGCCGTCAACACAAGCCTTCGTCGCCGCCGTCAACACAAGCCTTCGTCGCCGCTGAAATCCCGCCCTTCGTCGCGGCCGAAATCCCGCTTCGCTCGCCGCCGCTTCGCTCGCCGCCGCTTTGCTGGTCCGTCGCCGCCGCTTCGCTGCTTTGTCGTCGCCGCTTCGCTTGCTTCTTCGTCGTTTTCGTGAGAGGAGGAAAGTGAGAGAGAGGGGAAAAGTGGGAGAGAGAGAAATTCGAAGTGGTTCTGGCGGAGAAACTGAATTGGGGAAAGAATAGGTTTGATTTTTGAATTTTGAATTTGTGGGCTTGGTCAGCCGTGGGTTCGGCCAGCCGACCCAAATCGACTCTCACCTTTCTCAACCCAAACCGGCGCCATCTTACTCTCGCCCACGTGGACAATGGATCCACCGTGTGAGTATCTACTCACACTTTATGCTATGAGCAGCATAACTACATTGTGCTAGCCTGCTAGGTGGTGTAACTGATTAATTACAGTGTGAAAACAAAAGTCCAACGTCAAAAGTGGGATTTTAGATCAGAAGATAAGAAGCTCATCTTCCTATTCTCTGCTCGAGATCTCTGTCTCCGCATCACCCGCGGATTCCCGCCCGCTTCCTAACGAGTAACTATCCCACTTCCCAGCTGAAACCTATCCCCATCCATGGCGTCCACCATATTCAGCACTTCGTCGAGTCTCCCTACTGCTGTGAAAGGCTTGGATTGCAACACCTACAAACCCACCCTGGGCAATTTAAGGTTCATCGCGTCGCCTAATAAGAAATCGATCGCTGTTCCTTCTTCGTCTTCTCCGGCTCCGAAGCCGCTGTTTCCGGTGGTGAGAGCGACCAGCGATGTACCGGTGAAGACGGGATTGAGCGATGCTGAATGTGAAGCAGCAGTTGTCGCAGGGAACGTCCCCGAGGCGCCTCCTGTCCCGCCCACACCCCTTGCTCCCGCCGGGACTCCCGTGGTTCCTTCGCTTGTTAGTGCTAAAATTTTCCACGAGTTGATTATTGTAGCGATTTATTCGGTTTCTGGAGGATTTTACTGGCGTTATTTTGTGTTTGTATTCCTTGTTCCCGGCAGCCACTTTCCAGGCGCCCTCGTCGAACTCGAAGATCACCTGCGCTTAGAGCAGCGTTTCAGGAAACCAGTATATCGCCGGCGAATTTCGTTTATCCACTTTTCATTCACGAAGGTTGGGAATGCAAATCCATTCAATCGGCTTTTCTGTTTCCTTACCCCCTTTTTTGGTTAGCAATTAGTTGCTGAATTCTGGAACGTGCAGGCGAGGAGGACACGCCTATTGGGGCAATGCCGGGATGTTATAGGCTTGGATGGAGACATGGACTGTTGGAAGAGGTGATTCATCCCTTTTTTGCTTGTATGGCAGAATCACTTTCGTAAGTTGACAGTGATGGATTGTAGGCAAAATCATTGACTTTGGGCAGTCTCTTGGTTAAATTTCATCTTGGGGTTTAGTAAATAGAACCTCGAAGCTTTATCGGCGCATTTTAAACGAACCAATGCAAGGTTCAAATGGGACGTAGATTATGGTCAATTGGGAATGGGACCCATTTTCAAAGAATAATCAAATTCAGCTGCTTTGTCCTATCAGCCAGTGAGTACCATTGACTAGTGTTCTTGATAGAATATGACGGTTTATGATTTGACAAGCAAGCAACATCTGATATTATAACTGAATGTAGATTTAGGAGACCATGATTTTGTTTGGGTATCTCCTGCTAACTCGTCTCCCATGTGAAAGCCTAAGACTTTTGGCTCGATTATTAATGCTAACTATCTTTGAAGTTTAGGTTAAATATTTTTCTTCTTGTAGATGGGCAGTCGGAAGACTTTCAAATTGTAATGCATGCACAACAGCTGAGTATATCTGCTGACTAGCAGTTCGTCGCACACTACTAAAATGTCTGATGCAGGTTGCAAAGGCTCGGGATGTTGGCGTGAACAGTATTGTACTCTTCCCCAAGGTTCCTGATGCCTTGAAGGTTCTTCTTCTGTCCTGGATGACAGGTCTTCTGGATTTTCCTTTCTATTGCAGTCAAGGTGGAATTTAACTTTCTTTCTTCCATTGCAGACCCCTACAGGAGATGAAGCTTATAATGATTATGGTCTAGTTCCAAGGACCATCCGAATGCTGAAGGACAAATTCCCTGGTCTTGTAAGTGAAACTGCATATGTTTAATTGGACTTGGATGCTATACTCAATTGAGACTTAATCTCATAGTTTGCTCAATGATTTGTGGAAATCTATAGTTTCGCCAATCCTGACTCGATTTTTCTTTAGGTTATTTATACTGACGTTGCTCTCGATCCGTATTCCTCTGATGGGCATGATGGTATTGTGAGAGAAGATGGTAAGAAGATATAACTGTCAATGTGATTTTTTGGTCTTATATTTGAAATATGTTAGCTTGAAGTGGTATTAGTAGCTTGATAGGGATGCTAAGGGAGTCGAACAAGTTCCAACATTTGTAATTAGGATAGTCATTCTAGAATGGAAAAATCTAGGATGTTCGTAGCTGCATTTTCTGCAGGAATTCCTTAGTGAAGGACAACCTGGTCATGCCATAGGAACTATTCTAGTTATGCGGATGCTACATCCATGTTTTAATTATGTAGGAAACTTGACTAGCTAATCTTTTCAGTGTTTGGCTCATTTAGGACAGCTTCCTTACTGGAGCTACTGCTCTTTTAGGAGAACTGAAATATCTTATTGGGACATTATGTTTTATATCAGAAGTGTCAGAAACGAGTGCTTGTGCATGAGATATTGCTTAGAACTGATAGATCGCAATTGTCTTCTTTGTCCATAAAATTTGTTAGATCACGTGCGAGAGCCTAGTTTTCTTTGATGGCAAATGCTTCATCTGTAGTTTCTGATTGCTCTCAATGTAAACCTCCAGGAGTCATAATGAATGATGAGACAGTACACCAACTGTGCAAGCAAGCTGTTGCACAGGTAATACACATAGTAGTATCAATTCATGCCAGCCATTCGTTTTATCGAGGGGTTTTTTTTTATGTATTAGATTGATTACTTTCGCTTATCAATGGTGTGATAAAGTTCTTTGGTCCATATAATGTACATTCATGACTATTTTGGAGAATAATTTCCTTGATTTTTGCCAAAGTTCATAATCGTTTGTTTGATTTTGGCTTAAATACAAGAGCCTTCCTATTTTCCATCACCAACTTTGGATTATCTTCTATCTATTGATATTGTAAAGTTCAAATTGTCAGGGATTCTAGATACACGTCCTAATCATGGATACTTCGAATGAACAGGCTCGAGCAGGAGCTGATGTTGTTAGTCCTAGTGACATGATGGATGGCCGTGTTGGAGCTATCCGTGGTGCTCTTGATGATGCAGGATTTCAGCATGTTCTAATCATGTCCTACACAGCAAAGTAAGTCATTGGTGTTATACCTTCTCTGCTCTTGGCTTTTGCCAAGATTTGGGCAATAGCAGTTTTCTGTGAGTGGAATATTCACATATAAAGGAGTCACTAGAAGTTGGGATTTTCTAGTGATTCAATCGACAACTTGGTTGATTTGGTGATTAGGAGTTTAGACCTGTGAAAAATATTGTATCATTTGGAGACAGTTGTGAACTTTTGATGAATTGGTTTATATTTGATTTGGTGAGATATTATGGTTCTATTGTTTCAGCAATTACTAATCCTCCTTAAATCATGCAACCAGGTATGCTAGTTCTTTCTATGGCCCTTTCCGTGAAGCACTCGACTCAAATCCACGTTTTGGTGATAAAAAGACGTATGTGCTTTATTGAGTATGTTCTGTTTCATAGATCAAAGTATCAAACCTAAAGTGTCTATGTTTGTCCCTGACTAACTCTTTTATTTGTTTGGGAAAAATGGAAGTTATCAGATGAACCCTGCAAATTACAGAGAGGCTTTGGTTGAGGTTCATGAAGATGAATCTGAAGGAGCTGATATTCTCCTGGTTGGTCTCCCTTTCCGTTCTGGATCCTTGAATTTGTACATGTAAAAGATTGTCTCGTTCTTAACTTCACCCGCTGGGTTTTCAGGTGAAGCCTGGTCTTCCGTATCTCCATATCATCCGGCAAATCAGAGACAACTCACCTTTGCCGATCGCTGCATATCAGGTACTCTTCCATCTAAATCATATTCAATTCTCCATGGATAGGCTCCTTTGTAACTGTTTTGTTATGAAAATACGAATCCAGGTCTCGGGTGAATACTCGATGATCAAGGCTGGTGGGATTCTGAAAATGATTGATGAAGAGAAGGTAATGATGGAGTCCCTGTTGTGTCTCCGAAGAGCTGGAGCTGACATCATCCTCACCTATTTCGCTCTGCAAGCTGCTAGATGTTTATGTGGCGAAAAGAGGTAAAATGGCAGTGAACCGTTTTTTTTCCCCCTGTAAACTTACTAGATTTAGGTTGACATTTTGAAATTGAGTGCCACTCATTGTATAAAAAGGGAGTAGGGAGGGGGATGATATGTCCTCGTTGTGTTGATCATTCTGTATTTGTTTGGACTAAATGATATATGATCTAGTTTCAACAATTCTAGTTGTATCTATTTGTATCTCCTAGAGTTTCTTGTGTCTTGTGTTTGAATTTCCATAACTCCAATTTATTAAGCACATGAGTCTATGCAAATTTCAAGCCCAATGAGTTTACTTTTGTTTGAGTCGGTGTGTTAGTAAATGATATACGATCCATAATTGAATCTCTCACAAAAACTCGAGTTATTGGGATCAATTGGTTCTTGACATGGTATTAGAGCATTCTGTGACTGAGAGCTCTTGTGTCTGAATCCCCATAACCTTCATTTGTTAAGCACATGATATTCAGACTTGTGGAAACTTCAAGGATTTATGAGTGGCTTTCGTTTGAGGAGACGTGTCAAAGAGTGATATATGATATATATTTGGCATTCCTCTACAACTCGAGTTATTGAGATCCATTGGTACTTGACAGTTTGTACCCTGATAGTGGTAGTGTAGCAGTTTTGAATTAAGAGTTCATTCAGTTTTGATAACAATTTGGTTGAAATAATTAATGTGTTTGTATTGTTCACAATGTATTGTGATTTTGAATTTTTTGTATAAATAATACAAGCATTGTTTATTGTTTATTTAATATGACAAAAACTAGGACTTAAAATGATTATTGAGATAGTTACTTTGAGATTGTTGGATTTTTTTTATTCCAGCTATAGTCCAAACTTTGTGTTGCTAATTAACATTAAAAATAAAGAGAACAAGTGATTTTTCTCACAAAAATAATATAACTTATTTCAATATTACAATAACTATCACAAAAACAAAATAATGTAAACTACAATACATTGTTTTTCTTAATTACATATACCGTATAATATATTAATTGTTCACAATGCATCAATTCAACTATCACTAAAATCAAACAAATCCCTCTGTTTTCAGAACCGGACCGGAGGCTGAACCGGAAAAGTTAGTGGTTTAAGGGTTCACCAGTGAACCGTTACAAAATCGTTGGTGAACCGTTGATAGAACCGTTAATGATATATAACATATAAGACTTGTATATTACACTAATTTAAGAATGAAATTATCATTGACATAAACAAGTTCAAATTCATATCATCACGAAAATATCTAATAAATCATTCCAACCATCTCACAAAAGAAACCACATTTTTTAATTCAAATTAAAAATTACGGTTCTAGTTGGTAGTAGATAATGTAAAATCAACAATAAGGTTGAGGAAGCATATATAAAATTAATAAATACGATTTGATGGTCTTAGTTTATGTTAAAATAGTGAACCAATGGACTAGCTAAACCGTGTCGGTTCATCTGATTTTATGTTGAACCGTGAAAAACCGTTTGGTCCATCAATAACCATTCAAACAATGAACCGGACTGCTATCGTAACTGATTTGACGGTTCCACTGGCCCGACCGTTGATCCGGTTCGGTTCTTATAACAAGGACAAATCCTCCATTTTCTAGGGAAAGGCTAGCATGCTATCACTGTTTTTGTTAGCATGGTGTTAACTACTAACATTAGCGCCAGCCAATAGGAACATTTCGTTTGTATGACTTTTTCATTTAAATGAGTTAACCACAATTAATGAAGGGAAAAGAAAGGGGGACAAGCTGGTCATTAATAAAAATTGGGTGAAGGAAGGGGAGACCACACGTCCTTTTTGCATTAAATGTGAGGAAGAGAGGGACACCAACGAAGTAGGCTAGAAAACTCCTCAAAGTAGGCCAAAACCTCAAAGCATGTCAGAACCTCCTCAAAGTATGTCAGAACCTTCACAAAAAGTAAACCAGAACCTCCTCAAAGTAAGTCAGAACTTCAAAGTAGGTCAGAACCTCCTCATAGTAGGCCAGAACCTCAAAGTAGGCAAGAAGTTTCTTAGTTGTGGACCTGTTTGTCAATTTTAAAAAGTTTAGGTACCAAAATGTAAGAAATAAAAATTTCATGTACTTAAATGTAAATTTCCATCGATTTTTTGGAGACTCAAATGTAAAAGTAATAATTTTAGATACTAAATATTATTATCTATAATGTTCAGATACCAAAACTGTAATTTATTAATGAAACATAGAAGGGGTCAAGAGGAGGAGAAGGAAAAGGAAGGGAAAAAAGAAGAAATAGTTACTATAATACTTTAGAGTAAGTGTTAGTATGGTGATAACACTTAAGAGTGATAACACCCTATCCACTCCCAATTTCCTATGGGTTGCACCAAATAATTTTCTTGACGAGAACAATTACTTCCTTGAAGAAACATGACCACTAGTCGGAATATAGTTTTGTGATGAAACACTACTACTATCACAGAAACATCCTAACCAACTCATACATAAAATCTTGCATTTCTTCTTTACGTCGACCCGACTCGTATTCTTGGGTACATAATACTTTTTGTCCACGGACATGGCGGAGGAATAAGAAGATATACACTGCTGTCTGTTAGCATCTCTCTCCAAGATGATACTCAAACACGGTTTTGGAGATTTGGAGGGGAATGGAAGAGGGTTATCCTCCACTCATTGCATTCCATGAGTATAGTTTGGTTTTCGCTGGAAACGATGTCGAGACTCAATTAATCCAGTTCTCCGAAGTCTCAAACTATGCGAACTTCTCAATCACTGGACATTTCTTAGGAACCTTTCAAGTCACCTCTCCTTCCCATCAGGGATATGGGCAACTACTTTTCAAAGAAAGATTTAAAGAGCGACCTCTTTATTAAGCACATTTCCATAACTCCAATTTATTAAGCACATGAGCCTATGCAAATTTCAAACCCAATGATATATGATCTATAATTGAACCTCTCACAAGAACTCAAGTTATTGAAATCAATTGGTTCTTGACATGGTATCAGAGCATTCTATGACCGAGAGGTCTTGTGTTTGAATCCTCATAACCTCCATTTGTTAAGCACATGGTATTCGGACTTGTGCAAACTTCAAGCCTTTATGAGTGGCTTTCGTTTGAGGAGATGTGTTAAAGAGTGATATATGATCTATATTTGACCTCTCTCAACAACTCGAGTTATTGAGATCCATTGGTACTTGACAGTTTGAACCTTGATAGTGGTTGTCATTTTTTTGTAGAGTTTCCAAATCAAATGGACATGGTAGTGTTTTCAATGTTATAATGTTTTACGAGTATAGTAGTGATTTTGACTTAATGTAGATGGCGTTTTGTGTAGCAGTTTTGTGTTAAGAGTTCATTGAGTTTTAATGACAATTTGGTTGAAATAGTTAATGTATTTGTATTGTTCACAATATTCTATGATTTGGAATATTTTGTATAAATAATACAAGCATTGTTTATTTAATATGACAAAAACTAGGACTCAAAATGATTGTTGAGATAGTTACTTTGAGATTGTTGGATTTTTTATTCCAACTGTATTCCAAACTTTGTGTTGCTAATTAACATTAAAGTAAAGAGAACAAGTGATTTTTTTTCACAAAAATAATATAATTTATTTCAATATTACAATAACTATCACAAAAACAAAATAATGTAAACTACAATACATTGTTTTTCTTAATTACATATACAGTATAATATATTAATTGTTTACAATGCATCAATTCAACTATCATTAAAATCAAACAAAACATCAATTTTCTAGGGAAAGGCTAGCATGCTATCACTGTTTTTTTAGCATGGTGTTAACTGCTAACACTAGTTCCAGCCAATAGAAACATTTTGTTTATATGATTTTTCATTAAAATGAGTTAACCGCAATTAATGAAGGGAAAAGAAAGGAGGGCACACTGGTCATTAATAAAATTGGGAGAAGGGAGGGGGGACCAGACGTCCTTTTTGCATTAAATGTGAGGAAGAGAGGGACACCACCGAAGTAGGCCAGAACCTTCTCAAAGTAGGCCAGAACCTCCACAAAATAAGCCAGAACCTCTTCAAAGTATGTCAGAATCTCAAAGTAGGTTAGAACCTCCTCATAGTAGGCCAGAACCTCAAAGTAGGCCAGAAGTTTCTTAGTTGTGGACTTGTTTGTCAATTTTTAAAAGTTTAGGTACCAAATGTAAGAAATAAAAATTTCATGTACTAAAATGTAAATTTCCAACAATTTTTTGGAGACTCAAATGTAAAAGTAATAATTTTAGATACTAAATATTATTATCTATAATGTTCAGGTACCAAAACTGTAATTTGTTAATGAAACAAAGAAGGGGTCAAGGGAGGAGAAGGAAAAGGAAGGAAAAAGAGAATAAATAGTTATTATAATACCTTTGAGTAAGAGGTTGTTTGTTTGTAGGATTTTGATGAGTGATTTTGTCTCAAAATCCCATATGGTTGGATTATGGTTCAAATCCATGTTGGTTGATAAAAATGAAGTTGACCTAGATCCGTGGGGCCCACAAATATGAGATTTTATTTTGCACTAAATTCGTGGACCCCACGGATTATAAAATTCCACCTCATGAGGTAAGATTTTGAGAAGTGCCAAAATCCGTGGACCTCACTAATTATGAAATGACCAAAGTATCCTTAACAAATAAAACAAAAATACTTTATTAAAGATAAGAAGAAGGATAAGAAGGTAAACTCATCATTTAACTCATAAATCCAATATAACAAAATCCATTTTGAAATCCAACAAGCAAACATGCAATTTATAAAATCCAACACGAATTCAAAATAGCAAAAACCAACATAATCCTTCAATTTCAAAATCCAAGGTTTTACCCTAATCCTTCATTTTTTAAAATCCCACAAGCAAACGACCTCTAAATGTCAGTATGGTGCTAACACTTAAGAGTGATAGCACCCTATCCACTCCCAATTTCCTATGGGTTGCACAAAATAATTTTCTTGACAAAAACAACTACTTCCTTGAAGAAACACGACCACTAGTTGGAATATGATTTTGTGATGTAACACTACTACTATCACAGAAATAGTCGAACCAACTCATGCATAAAATCTTGCATTTCTTCTTCACGTCGACCCGACTCGTATCATTGGGTACGTAGTACTTTTTGTCCACGAACGTGGCGGAGGAATAAGAAGATAGACACTGCTGCCTGTCAGCATCTCTCTCCAAGATGATACTTAAACACGGTTTTGGAGATTTGGAGGGGAATGGAAGAGGGTTATCCTCCACTCGTTGCATTCCATGAGGAT